TAGCACAAAATATGAAAGCATTTAATAATAAATCAAAATAAAGAAATTAATCAATTATTTATGAATTAATACTTTTGGAAAATTAAAAACAACTGTATTAGCATTTAGAAGTTATACTGTTATAGTACTATTCATTTATAACAACATTTTTGAATATTATCATAATATGTAGGTACTTAACTCGTAAGCCGTAACTATAGGTACAATCCGCCATTATAGCTGGAGAACATAATTTTATAAAAAAATTCATATTCGTGTGTAAAAATTAACTCAAAAGCTAATGACATAAATAAATTACATGTTATACTATTATAATATTCTAATAAATGCGATGTTTTCGGTAAAAATAAATTCATTCGTTAGTTACTAATAAGTAATAGACAATAGCTGAATAGCATAATATACTCAAATCAAAATAAATTACTAAAATATCAGAAATATAATGATAATGTATAATACAAATATATATATAGGTATGTACTTACTTAGTAAGATTAGTTAATCGTTGCATATAAAAATTTTTCGCATGCTATGCCGCAGTTGGAACAAATTTTCGGGAGGGATTTAAAACCAAATCATATATTTTTATAATATAAAAAAAAAATATCTTACAAAAATATGTAGGTATATAATATTATTATAATACATCTAAATAATGTTTCTAGTAGAAAATTTGATCTAGTTGGTACTTTGGTGAATTAGAATATTCCCAGTAATTTTTAGAAAAAACTAATAAAAAGTTAAAGAAAATCCATTTAATTATTCAAATATATTAATAGAATAGTCTTCGAATCTTAATATTTTCATCAAATATTTACAAAAAAGTTGAGTTTAAATCGACATTAATTTTTTTATAAGGGTTTGAATCGTAGATATACCAAAAGAGTGTTGTATATTTTTTTTATAGGTAAAAATTCTTAAAATTTTTATTTTAAAAATTTAAGTCTAGATTGCTTAAAATATGTTCTAACTAGAGTTTGAAAAAAAATATAAGCGTAAAACCACAAACTTTTTAATGCGTTTTTTAAGTTCAAATATTGACGACTGTATATTCAAACGTACAATAACACGATTTCTCCTCAAAACGATTTTAGTTATTTTTTCATTATTCAAAAAATATTTATCGTAGAAACTTGAAACATTCCAATATTACTTACATTACCGTTTACCGTACACAGAGAAAATTTTTAATTTTAGATTCTACACAGAGCGATCAAATATGTATTGATTTCGTATGAAATCAATATATATTATATTATATTACGTTATATTCTATAATATTATGTTATCATCAGATATATTGATGATACAGCTATAACTTGTCAAAAAACTTGAACATTTAAGTAATACAAGGTCATAAAATGATCTCATAGTATTCTAAAAATATCGATAATAGCCAATAGGTTGGTTCGTACTTCATTAGCACTATTTTTTTATAAATATTAATTGAAGTTCTAAATTTGATGTTTAAACGAAAAATAATCATTATGATTGTTTATAATATTATATTTTCTATGTTTTTGAAAAAAACTACCGGAATGAATTATTAATAGTAAATAAAAGTAAGTAATAAATAAAACTATCCTTAAAAATATTGGCTGACAGACCGTCACTGCACAGAATCGTTTTTCATGTTTTTACAACGATTTATCATTGACTTAAAATTCAACAAATCCATTACAATTTACAGTGACCTTCTGAATTACGAGATACAAAATATACCTACTGTTCTGCATAGCGGTTATTAACTTACCAGAATTTTTCAGCTTTACCAGCTTAAATATTTTTAAGATATCTGAAAATATTAAAAAAGAAAAATAGGTTACGACTTATTGGTATTCATTTCTGAGAATGCACGTAAAAACCTATTACGCACTTTTGGCGCGAATGTTGTTGTCGATATAATGCCAGGAAGGTTGCAGGAACGAAAGTCGTGTATTATCAGTTGTAATAATATATAAATAGTGTCTAGTATATAAAATAAAATAACGAGCCAGCATTTCATACTCGAGAGAAAAATTAAATAATAATAAGTACCAAAGTCAATTTGTTATAAGTATACGTGGAAACAGTACGCTTTATTGCTTCGATCTGGAAACGTCAAGTTCTGTAAAATACTTTGGAACTATTGTATTTATTGTTTTATTCGTTGTGTGAGTTACACTGAATAGCATATAGAATACAGTAGGTACCTACATTTGATGTAACATGGAAATTACGTTTTAACTTGATTTTGTCGAAGGAAATTGTGCGTCTTGCACTAAGCTTATAAGGACATTTAACACGGGAAATTGTGCCAAGAAAATTGTACCACGCCATTCGATTCTTCGTCATTTCTCTATAATGGATTCTTTCCGAAAATGTCATATGCATAAATAAATAAATGGATATTGATTTTACGGAATATACTGAGTTTTGCATTTTCCCTTCCACGGTGATCTCTACGCGGTAAGACACGAATTTATTTTGTAAAAATACGAACTCGTATAGAGAAAAATGTCACAAATGTCAATAATATATTTGTTCACGGTTCGTCACACGACCTATTTGGGCAAAAAGGCATAATATCTATACTTACGTCGTGTTCGATCATTTTTAACATATATTTTGTCTCAGTTATTGATGACAAATTACTGATAAATGATCAAAATTCGTAGATATTTTTTTTTCCTTTAATTAATCAATAGTATAAACTTAATTCGACATACATACCCTTTCTTTATACGACGATATCAGTGCGTGTTTATACGCATCACGGATTAAAATTCTCGTATGCTCACAACGTCGTGTTTCACTCGTTGTAGGTATATTATTATAATAATATGTTCGTGTAGCGAGTGTTAAAATGCCGAAAACATATCGAACAATAGTCGAGTACCGCCTAATCATATTATTATTATTATTATACACCTATAACACGTATCCTAGTTCGGAGAAAACGATTTTTTTTCTGCAGATATTATATAATATTAATTCATTAATCTCCAAACAGTGCGTGGGCGTAGTCAACAGAAACTGCAGCCGCGCATTACAAAGTCTATCAAAATTTTTTTGAAAATGGAAAACACCGTCACCTCAAAACTATATAATATTATCCCAATGCGTTATCTATGCTGACTTGCAGCCTTGTGAAACTATAAGCCCGTCGTAAGCTAGCTTATATTCCTATGAATGAATTTATATCGAGTGACAACGACTCGACGTTTTCCTGCCAAATATGTATATCACTCTAGGAATTTCTAATTTACGTAAAGGGCCAAAGGTTATATTATAATATTATTAAAGACGTGTAAATGTCTTAATATTGAACGGCAGGGGGATGAAATTGTACCTTGCAGGTACTCGAGAGGATTGGGGAGGCAGAACGATTGGTATTTTGCCTCCTCAACACATACAACTTCATAGTATTAGAGTGGAAAAAGAAAAATTAATGGTTCACATTCGTGTACTTTATAGATAGCTACTATACTATACTTATATTATATTGCAATGCAATTCGATTTAAAAAAAAAACTTATTGCATTAATTATTTTATATAATATTAAAATTATTATTATAAAATTATTTGAATATAATATTACTAGATGGTTTTTTTTTTATAATTTTTAAGTGAATACCGACGAACGTAACGATGTGAATAGGTTCATGGTGAATGTACAAATAGCTATTATAATAAAATTAGTAATTTATTGCTTATCGAAATATTTTGAAAAATTCCTTGTGTATACTCACTAGTCAATAATAATAGGCATACGTACCCAATGACGAAAAGTAAAAATTTCAAGTCTATATACGAATAATATTTTTTGAATTTCAATAAAACATTATATGACTACAATTTTTGTCTTAATATTCAATAACTTTGTTCATATTTTGTTTGAGACATTTAGGTTTTGTAAGAGCAACTTATGAGGAACCAGATAATATGAAATGTTCAATACTTATTACTTGGTTATTAAAATTGAAATTTTTATACATTTGTAACTAGATAATAATTTTAATATGTTAGTAATTTTGGCGATTATTTTGAAAAGTACTTGGACATTTTCCTTTTAACCCACTCAAAGTACCAACTAGATACATTTTTTCTGCAAGAAACCCCCTTCGGAGTTTATGAGTATATAAAATTAATTTATCTACTATAAAACATAATTATTATAAAATCACTCATCGTTGTAAAAATTAAAAAAACCAATGCTCTTCTCACTCCTCTCAGAATCTAAAATGTCTACGGCGTATTAATACATTATTTATGTATAATGGGTATTGAAAACAGACGTCTTAGTGTATAACTAAATTGGCTAGATTAAAGAACAGATATATAGCTGCTACATCGTAGATAACATAGTAATTTTCAATTTAAATATTATACACGCATGTAAAATTGTAATTACGTTTTTATTGAAGCAATCTTGTAAGTATACCTATTCGAGCGTACATTTCTGTGATGCATTTCATAATACTATATTATTTTATTTGCCTGCAGCTGCACTTATAATATATTATGTTCAAAAAAACTGCCTAAACCTTTTTAGCAAAATAAAAAATAATAAATGTTTTTCTACAATAATGTTTGATAGTGTTCCTGAACATCGACATTATAATATTATTCAGTACCACATTATCGTTCGCGCGTCGATATTATAACATTATATGGCAAGACTTTCACGACTGTGGCTCGATCAGTGGCTCTACCTGTCGGTACGACGACGAGTGAAACGCCCCGGTGAAATGCGTCCCGGCGTATATAAGACAATAAATTGACGCGCCGCAGCCAAGTGTGAAACCGAGTCTTGTTCCGTCCGTCACTGTTGCGGACAGTCGTAAACGTTGATTTTCGAGAGACAGATAGAAAATATATCAAAACTGTACTGTCCATTGGTAGTATTATAATTATTATTCCGTTTAATTAGTATCTGTCCGGCAACACACAAACATACGCACACGGCCGTGTGCAGTTTGTTTGTACGAAAGTGCTTGTGCGCTCGCATCAGTCTGTCATGAGGACTACCATGTCAATCTCACTCAGGCTCCTGGCGATCGCATGTCTCATCACATTGGGTAAGTAACTAGAGTTTAATCATTTCACTAACACAAATTATATATATATATACCTATAGACTCATCTGTGTAACGCCGCCGCCCGTCATCAGGTATTGCAGATCTTTTCCCGGTGAATTCGTTTAACAAACATAACTATGTAATATTGTACACACAGGTATTTGTCAACGGTCAAAATTGAAAAAAAAGCGTTTAAGTCTCTCGTTAACCCGATTATAGGATCTTTTGTTATGTGTCGGGTGCCATGTACATAGTAGGAACGGTACAATCTTTGTCGAGGGTTTTTTGAAAACAATAAAACTCAGCAGTGCCGTATAAAAGGATGTACACAACTGCGTTTTTGAAAGGCATGTGCACTGCTGAAGTATAGGGTATTTTTTTTCTCAAGCGCTGAAACACGGTTGTTCCTTCTATAATCAATTTTAAAAAAAGATATACTTGTAATAATTAAATTAATTGTACTTTCTTCTAAAAGATATAATATGCGCTGTATTCATAATATTATAATATTGTATTGTATAATTTTTTATATTATAAAATGTAAAAAAATATATATAATAATAATACATCATAATATAGTCATTCGAAAGAGAGTTTATTTGGAATTTTTAATCACTATTCACTAATTTACTTATAATTTTTACAGTAATAAGTAAATTTAGTTACGAGAAAATTAAAAATTGCGTATAAGCTCACAGACAGGAAGCTTTATCTATATTCTAGTTGTAATATCTATTACCTACCAATATTTATATAATATATTATTATGTACGTGTGTGTGCAATATTTTAAAACTAGTCAAAGGTAAATCATTTTTATGTTCACATGCTTTAAGTGACGTCAACAGGTCTCTTCTTACTCAAAAATTCAAGTCATTGTAATACTCTTACCACATAAGCTTATTGTGCATACAATAATGTATAGATTGTTTATTTCAAATAAAATAAAATAAATAAAATGTTCACATGCAAACAATGATTACATGTCTATATTAACTAGGTACATGTAATTAGGAAGTTCAAACGACATACAATATGTAATGTTGTTATTACCAAGAGATGCACACACAAATACGAAGACTATAGGTTGCAAATAGTTGAATCATATTATTACGATGACACGGATAACGCAATGTTTGAAGTTACTTAACTGCTTAATGAGAAATATACGTAGGCATATTATAATACCTAAATATAAAAAGAAAATGGCCGCCTATATTATTTCAACTAGTAGGTTATAGTAGGTATATAGTATAGATGATGATGTGCGTAGTCGTGACGCCCACTGAATAAAAATTTATAAATCAACTGAAATCTTAAAAAAATTAATTCGCTTAAATTGAACTCCATTGTAGTTGCATGGCTCGCAGCATTTACATAATACATAAACATAATACAGGTGTGTGTATGTGTCCATCGAGTGAATATATATAGTCTAAACGTATGTCATCGCCCCGCTGGACGTATACTACACAATATATAATAGCAATTTGAGTTACGATCTAAACACAATATTATGTTATTATATATTATATTGCTCGCGCGCGACAGTAGGTATTGGCTGATGGATAATAATAATGGCCTGTGGGCGACAACCGTGTCTAAAGATGATTTCACTCGAATTCCCGTGGCAAAATAGGTGTGCTGCTGCACACAGGAATACGAATATCTCGACACCCGGATGTTACCCCGCGTAGGTTTTCGTCGCTTTTCTTTAGATCAGCGTGTGGTTTTTCCTTGTGAGTCGAAAACGTATACTAGCAAGCCCACAAGCGATCAATGACACGGGCAATATTTGAATATATTATAATATATAGTGTCCCCGGTGGACTCTCCTACTTCACCCCCCAACCCAATCGTGTCGAAACAACATTTTTTTTCCGTCGAAGAACTTCGATCGGTACGAGATCGGTTTTCGATTTTTACAATTTCTAAACGGCTCCGTGTACATACCACCACCAATTTGTTTTCTCGATATCATACACCTACCTATTATTATTTACGAGTCGCGTCCGCGATCGGGACACGAACTCGGGATTCGTCTACATTACATTATGGCCGACATTCGCCTGGTCGTTATAATTATTTCCTCTCTTCATCACAACACGTATTATCCATATTGCCCATGTATGGAGAGGGTCCTCTCGCAACCGTCCGCCCAACAACAAAGTGTCACGTCGTCGCGTTAAGATCGGACACGCGTGCTTATATTATAGGTACATATAGAAAGTAGAACGCGCACGCAGTCGTAGAGCTTTTTTTCCCTCCCGTCCACACTTCCTTCTCGATTTTTTTCTTCCTTCCTGTCCGACGATAAAATATTATGACAGGACCGAGCGCAAAATAACATACATTATATATCTACGTCGTGTGTGTCGACAGACTCGGCGGGCACGCGTGCCGTTTTCAAATTTCGTCCGACCCGGTCGCGTGAAAGTGGAATACATTATAATATCGTATAGTGCAACAACAACAACAACAGTATATGCCCACCAATACTTCGTAACAATTTGTGACCAGCACGTACGTTGTGGCCGGCATAGATAGGGTATAATATGTCTGCAGAATATGTGCAAGGCAACACGCAAAGTGTTGTCGCGTAGATAATATTATTATGACGTGCGAGCAAACGAGGTCGTGCGTGCACGTTCCAAGTTCATCAACATTGCGCGGTCGAACCGACACCGGAAGGCATATTGAATATAGGTACGACATGGGCACTTGAAACGATCCGAAAACCATTCACGTACCTATATATATACACCTCCACAAATATTCCGTATAGTTCCGACACGAGTATCCGACCAGGATATAGTTAACTGTTCACAACAGATGCGTTTAAAATGTTCCGTTTGCCCATATAGTCAAAGCTTCTTGGCGGGCTGCAAAACGTGTACCTACATACGTAATACCTTTATAACACAACGGCTACTGCACATATTATATGGAGGTATGACGTTACGGACACAAACGACTAACCTGACAGTTGTTCTTCTCGAAGGCTTATTAGGTATTATTATTATTATTATTATTATTACGATGATTCGATGATTATGAAATATTGGCCTCGCCAAACGAGAAAAACATAAACGTTTAGAATGAGCCAAAACATATAGGCGCCAACAGCTATCATCTCTGTTTGATTTAAGATCCATCATGTTTTCGTGTAACGAGCAATAGTTATATGACGTCCAAATTATTATTCGTTGATTTATAATTATTTATGTTCACGAGTCTCACGCTGCAGTTTTGATGGTGAGGCAATACTGCATTTTCCATAACCACCACTCACCGCCCACTTTGATATCTTAAACATAATTATAATATATACACTGAGCATTTGTACAATAAAATACGTAATACTACTTAATATTCTAAAATATAATCGGCAGTTGAATAAAAATTTTACTACATAATAATTAAAGCGTAACTATTTATGTGGCTTTATACAGGACAAGTTTATATTAACATACATTAAGTGTTCATAAAAATATTGACAATATACCGAAGTGAAATATTTTTGGAAAACTTATTGACAAATAATTGATTATTATGATTATGTAGATAACGATTTATAACATTACAATATTTTTTATATTTTAACATTCGTATTGTTAATGTCTAAGTATAATAATCAAAAACATAATTTACCGATTTACTTGATGCAAGTTTAAAGTTATTAAAATAATACAAATATACATTAAAAGTTAAAGTCAATGTGCCTTTTTAAATAATTTTTTCTATTTCTTAACAAATAACATAAAATTACTAAAATGTATTGTTCATACTGAATTTAGTACCTACAGAAATACGTTCGGAGTAGGTATATAGGTTATTTTGTTAGTAGTTTATATAGCAACTATTTGCTTGCCAAATGTTGGCAGTACGTATAAAATACATTTATTACACAATTTTGAAATTAATTAATTAGCATTCACAAACCATTAAATTTACGATTATGGGTTAACCACATATCTACGAAAGTATATAATTAAATTATTAATAATATTATAAAATATATCTTCATGTTATAATACTTACATAAATGTGTTAATAATGAAATAGTTTAATAATATGAAAACATTTTTAGGGCAGTTATTTATTTTGTATATTGCAATATATTGTAATGTAGGTAAGATTAATAAAGATTATAAAACAAAACAAGAAACAAAATATATTTGGGTTAATGTGTTATTTAATCAAACAATAAGCTATTTAATATATTTAATGTACTTAATATAGGTACCTGTAATGAAACTACTTCATAATATAAGAAATATGAATATTATTTAGTTACAATTAAAATATATAACTCGGTCTGTTCTAAACATTAAGTTTGTTTTTGATGTTCTGATAGGTTAGACCATAGTTAAAAAATACCTATTGTTTTTAACTAATTAGCAAATTCGTTATTTTTTTTCTCAGGATCTTGTGATTCGTTATTGTCACGAATTAAACGTCAACAAGCGTCAACGAGTGAACCGAAAAAAGAGGAAAGTTTTGAGATCGAAATATGTAAAGACAAAGACGCCGGAGAATGGTTTCGGTTAACTGCACAAGACGGTGACAGTTGCCGTGATGTCATCCAGTGCACATCATCGGTAAGTAAAGCGGAATTGCATTTAAAAATTACTATTTTTTTTATATAAATTTGGCAGGGATCCATTGAATTTATTCAAATAAAAATTGTATTTAATTCGTAAATAATTCAAAAAAATATATGAATATAAATTATATATATTAAATATATTATAATTTCAGAATAAATTTCAGTGACCCACAAATGTAATTAAAAATTTGTAGATAGTTATTATGATTAGTTAAATCGTACAAACTACTGTATGTTGACTATATACAATAAACTATACAACTCGGTTATTAATTATTCTTTTTGAAAATTGAAAAAATTAACAGGTTATATTATATGACGTACCCATAGGTATTTAATATTTTGATGTAGTGTTTGCATAACCTAATCTTTATTATTACTTAGTGCTGAGAAAGTACACAATATTTAGTATCCTATAATATTATAATGGTTAGTAATACAGTTTACATGTACCTGATGTTTTATAGATTAATAAAATATATTCCCTGTTTTAAATGTTTATGGTTCACCAATTATTATTAGTGTACCTACTGATTATCAATGTATTAAAAACTTGTATCGTTCATTAAAAAAAAATACCTAAACGTGAGACGATAAAATACATCAGAATTTTCACCTATTAAATTTGACGACTGGGCGCCAAACCTTTTATAAATAATAAATATAGTAAAGCACGGAATGTCATTACTGATTCCGTCAAAATAATATTATATCAATGCGTTTATTTACATTTTACAGGGATTGCAAGCCATTCGTTGTCCTGCCGGATTGTATTTCGATATCGAAAAACAAACATGTGACTGGAAGGCCGCAGTGAAGAATTGCAAGTTGAAGAATAAAGAACGCAAAGTCAAACCTTTATTGTTCACAGACGAACCATTGTGTCAGGTATTAGATAAAGGATTATTTTTTGTATAGATTTATAGTGCTTATATCATTGTTGTACGCATGCGATTTACGATTACATATTATTATAGATAATGATGATACGTTAGATAATGATAATCCAAACTATTATTTCAGTTCTGCATTGATGTCGAAGGTCTTTCAGTGATTAATCCTCGAGTAGTTTTTCAACTTGGTTTTCAGAGTTCAAATTAAATCTAAACACGTTTTATAATGATACAACTAGTATTAGATACGCACAGTTAAATATCAATGGAAATTTGTACATATACATTTCAACAACAATAATTAATAGTAGTTTGAACTCAGCTCCTTTCAATATTATTTACACATTTATCATAGGTAGATAGATACAAGCTAAAATATCTGCATGAGAAATATTTCCAAGAAACATCCAATTAAAATTTAAAAAGTTTGAATATTTAAAAAGGAGACCTAATAATCGATTGAGGTGCTCATTTTCGGAAGTCTTTCCGGTATTTATCAACACTAACTGAAAATACGTAGGTACACGTAATTAGTGAAATTTAAACCACGTCCGTTTAATACATTTTATTTTGGTTTTCTTGTTTATAGTATAAAAAATAATAATCTTTGTGATTTCAAATTTTGATCGATTTATTTTTATGAAATAATAAAACATTTGAAAAATCCTATCACCATACTCACGTGGGTTCTAAAAGCATATATATAATATATCATTACTATATTTGCCTTTTGATAATCGAATATGATCATCTTGCTTACATATTTTTTATTTTATTTAGAGAATACATACACTTAAGTACAACATATGTATACACATTTTAATATACGTTTATATTTCCCATTACTATAGGACGGAGAATTGTCTTGTGGTGATAAGTCTTGTATTGAACGAGGACTATTTTGTAATGGTGAAAAGAATTGCCCCGATGGTTCAGATGAAAATTCTTGTGGTTCGTATGATTTAATAATTACTATTACACGAAATGAGTTACCTGTAAAATCATAGGTAGTTAATTTCAAATTGGCAAATAATAATTAATAGATATGGCCATGTATCATATGATTTAATTATTAAAAAAAGTTTATTAGGTGAATACTATATTATAGGTTTATTAAATCTCTGTGATTATATCATTGGCTTTTATTACTGATAATTATCTTAGACCTTAAAATAATTCTAAATCATTAATTTATAGTTTGACAAAACTAAAAATTTAGCAACTTATTTTGAACTTATAAATCTTAAATTTCCATCCAACATTATAAACACTTATAGTTAATATAATAGGTATATTGATCGTTACCAATTATCCCAGATCGTAGAATTTGAAATGTTTTGTACTACATAACATATTACATTATCTATCCGTAGTTAGTTGAGGAAATATATTCATTTTTTTGCATATCAATATTTAATTTTTTCTAAGTTACTATTCGAATAGTATTAACCTTCAAATATATTTCAACTTCCAACTATATTACAATAATTTTTTCTGGTGTAAGAACTTGATAAACCTTATAGCCCAATGATTTATCTCACACATTTATAATATTAGATTTTAAATGGCACGCTGGTGCATTTTTTTGACAATCATACTTGGTTTTAAAATTCTCACAGTGTGTGAAATTATCTATCTTTAAAAAAAATTATAACATAAAAAATACTGATTGCCTGAGATAGTTGAAAAACATGTACAATTATTATAGACACGAACTTTATTAAAAATGTTATCAACGCATAATATTATAATACATTATAGTGTTGCACCTATCACGTTTTTTTTTATTTTAAATAAAACTATAATATAATATAATATTGTGTAACAAGCTACGAATAATACCATGTCGCAGCCTTGATGGGAATTATTCGAAAATTGATATACGGTTCAATAAGCTCTATAATAATGGACGGCAGCACCTAATTAATGAATTGTTATTTGTTTTTTTCCTACAGATAACGATAATGATCCTAATCGCGCGCCGCCTTGCGATCCAGCCGTGTGCGTTTTACCCGACTGCTTCTGCTCCGAAGACGGCACCGGAATACCAAACGACTTGCCGGCCAAGGAAGTCCCTCAGATGATTACCATCACCTTTGACGATGCCATCAACAACAACAACATCGAACTGTACAAGGAAATATTCAATGGCAAACGCAGAAACCCCAACGGGTGTGACATCAAAGCCACTTTCTTCGTGTCGCACAAGTACACCAACTACTCGGCGGTGCAGGAAACCCACAGGAAAGGACACGAAATCGCAGTGCACTCTATAACGTACGTACCCAACCCATTGTAATATACGCCTAGTACCTAACCCATAAGACCTACAATATGCCTATATGATATTATTTTGTTTTCACGAGAGATTTTTTCGAAATCCAACATAACACGTCATATTATTATCGTTATATACATTCGTCCGAGTCGCACGAACGTGTTTCGGTTCCGGTTAAATAATATTATTGTAAAATACAAGCTGCGAATAAGTCCGGATAGAAACACGCGGCATATAATAGTAATGATAATATATCATTAGATTATATGAAATACCTGCCTACATGGGTACCTAAAAATCCGGTTCTCGGGACGACAGTTTTTTTTCAGATGTTCGTACCTATATAATATGTCTTTTGATCAAATATTAAGATTCAAATTATTGTCGTACAAGTATCATAACGTCATGTCCATACACCTATTATACGATTCGGAATACATTTATGCGTTTCCCTTTCCAGTCGAATACATTAAAATATTATAATATTGTCTCTACCGGACTAACACTAACTAACCGATACGATATTTTACGCGATGGCAATACAGTTAATATTTTTGAACAGTCGTGAAAGTAAGTACTATAACAGATAAACTGGAAAGTAAAAACCATCATGTAATAATCCGGTAGGTTAGGTACCTAACCATAATTAATGCAACTAAAGAGAATGGAATTGATTCGGTGAAAAATCATTATTTATAAATTATTATTATAATACCAATATGAATATTAAGCAAAATTAATTAAATGATATTATATAATAGTATTATTATGTTGTGTCAATGCAATGAAACACCTTAATTTTTTTTTTTTTTTATAATACATTTTTAATCGACGAGTAAAATTTCAAATTTGAATTAATAAGTTTTTAATAACTAAGTATCGTCGTAATGGTGTATAACATACACTTTTATAGTAACCTCATGACATTATGCATTTAATTGACGATTAGGCGGTCGAGGACGATACCTGCGCAGTCACAATATTTAAATATTTTCATAAAATTTCGATTAAAAGACCGATGAAATTCACTTTTTTTTTTAAAACTTAATTTACGACAAATGTTCACCAAGGACACCTTCTCGCCGGCAGTTGCAGTTGCGTAATCCAAGTGCACGAGAAATTATATTATGTACCTATACACGTTACTGATAATAATATGTAATAGCATTCCGATCGATGTGTCTGCCGGTCTCAAGAATGCCGAGAAAATGTGGTATCCGTTTGCATATATTGAAATAATACTGACGGTAATGTGTTCGTGTGAAAACCGGTATGAACATGTCAGACAAGTTCTTTTTAGCGGTCTATTTTCTCGTTTCTGCTAATCCAATGTTAATGGTTCGGACGTAAGTGTCAAAAAAAAAAAAAAAAATTATACATATAGGTATATATCTCCTATTTGATTTTATATTATATGCTTGTATTTTTCAAACCTGTACGACTTGGACGCGAGGAATGTATTGCACAAGTGCACAACACATTCGAGAGGATCTATTCGTTTACGGATTTTAAACTACGAGGCATCCGTCGACAGTTTGGAGTGATAAATTTTTATTTTTCCCCTTTTCCGTGAAATCAACACGATTTAATACGCACATTTTTCGGTTGTCGTTATAAGTTGTATAACGCACGAAAAGAATAACACTTTTTATTTTTTTCCTGAAGCGCTATTATTTATATCTATTATTATTACTATTACATTCAAAACCACAACTCTTTGAAATTTGTTTGTGTGAACTACGTAATATAATGTGGGGAATCGTGTATGTCGTGAGTGTCGTGTGTGTGTGGTGAACTCAGTAAATTTACGACAGTTTGAATCCGAATGGGAGACCTATAGTTGAAACAATTTGAGCTATCGGAGATTTGATTTAAAGTTAACAATGATACATTCTAATGTGGCTTATTAGTTATTAGTTATTTATATTTCAAAGATTTCAAAACTGTATTTAAGATGTCGCCACTCTCCATAATATAATACAACTATAAATTTCACTTTATACTGCGTTAATGTGTCGAGACACTATTTTTTAATGATTATTGTAATTTTCGTAATTATTATTGAACTTGTCCTTTTAAAGTATCTATAAACTTTACGTCGGTAGACAAATTACTCAGTCTTCATTTTTATTTTAATAAAACTTTTTTCCGGTAGATATGACACGGAAATTATAATATGATAATATAATAGGTAATAACTTAATGACGTACCTACAATCAGATAACTATAATAAACCTTGATTACTGCAGGTTATTGATCGATCAATCAACCTGAAGTCAATATCATAATAGAATATACATCCATTTTTTTTAAGTAGAGACTTTAAATAACATTGGAACACATTGACAACAACATGTGACACCTTTCAAGGCTACGACGATTCGCCTAATATAATTTTCACTGTCAAATAAAAAAAAAATGTAACACAAGTAATTTTAGATTATATATGTATACTTACATTGATACATAAATAACTATTGTTAGTATTTGGTTTTATTCTCGTTTCTTGTTTAGGCAATGAAACTATGAAATTTTCACTGAGTTATTTGTATATTAAAATTATTTAAATATATATTTATAAATTCTTTATACACTTACCGATAGTTCTACTGTGTTGGACTGATGGATTATTTGTGTTTTATATTTATTGATAAATTAGTGGCATTACATCCAAAATCTATAATCATTTTATTTAAAGATTAAATACACAAAAAATATTTTTAAAACATTAATATATAATAAATTCTACCATTTTGAAATTTATTTAAAAAAAAATATACATTTGGTGAAAGACGGAAGATCGAGGTTTATTGGGTCACTGACATAATAAGCAAAATGCTAAGTATAATAAGTAACTTTTATTTTCATTGATCACGTCATAACTCGTTAATTTGTGGTTATTCTGGTTTTGTGGTCGAAGCGTCATAAAATGTACCACCAAATGAAAAAATATAATTTAAAATTTAAAAAACGTCTTACATTTATAGTTAGGTTAGGTTATGAAAATGTAAAGTATTTTTTTAATTAATTTAACAAATAATACTGAAACTAAACTTTGCTACAGTTGTAACTTGTTTTATTTGACTCTAGAATTCTAGATACAGTCTGAAGTATAGTTAAGCAAACGTAAACTATTAAATTATTATATGTGTAGGGAGATGGCTTTAAATATTTCCATTTTATACAATGTTAAGACTTAAAACAATCAACTTACCTAAGTACCTATCTGGCTATATCAGAAAACTAGTCTATTAGATTCATGTTTTGTGTTAATAACAATCAAAATCATATTTATATATAAAAACTATATATCATAATAAAATATTATGATCGAGATCCCCATATTATAGCAATGTCACGACGAATTAGTTGTAGTTCCTGCTCACGGGGCTGATATAGGACTGCATTTAGATAGGACTATAATATTTAGTATGGATACAAAAAAAAATGTTCCTGCTCACGACCGCTGTCGTATATATATAATATTATATGATGTGTAAATAGCTCATTCGTCCTAAACGATCGTTATATTTGCGTGTTACAGGCACAACGACGACGAACAGTTCTGGAGCAACGCCACCGTCGAGGACTGGGCCAAGGAAATGGCTGGTATGCGCATAATCACCGAAAAGTACGCTAATCTGACAGACAACAGCGTTGTCGGTTTGAGATCTCCTTATCTGCGAGTGGGTGGCAACAACCAATTCACCATGATGGAGGAACAAGCTTTCTTGTACGATTCATCCATCACTGCACCCCTGTCCAACCCACCCCTCTGGCCGTACACCATGTACTTCCGCATGCCCCACAGGTGATGTACACAATAATAATATTAAATATACCTAGTTCACATATGCTTTTATCATGAAGATTCATAGCAACTCATCGCCACTTCTAATAGAATAGTCATATTATTTTGTGTTCTATAAATTCGGTAAACGTCTCGGCTTGATAAATTGTACCTACTATAATGTCATAAACAGGTACCTAACAAATAGGTTTATATTATTATCGTGATAATAACTTTCATACGCTTAAAATAGTGCTATTAGAACTAGAGTAACATGGTTAAGCCATTATATGATTAGCTTTTAGTTTTCGATTAATATTGCGTAATATAATATTAAATACTTAAATATGAACTCGCTTCCCGGATACAAGATTCGGCTCATTAGAATATCGGGATTTAGAACAATCTATATTTCAATTTAGGTAGTAGGAAGTAGAATGGAATGTTAAATTTCTATAGTCAACTATATAGATTATACTGCAAGTGTAGGTACAAGATGTTATTCAATCAGCGAAAGTTGTCTAGTTTCAAGGACTAGAGGGCGTATTCTATATATGGCTTTAAAACAGCTCTATAAACACATATCTAACATTTTTTTTTTATGAATGAATTTAAGAACCGATTTTATTTTTCATTCGAGTATTTTTAGACTATTCAAAATCAAATTTTAACGGTCAATCTATATCAACATTATAATGTTATAACGATCACATTTTTTAAGGTTATCGCTCTATCACAATACTATTAGGTACTATTACGGGCATTCTTTACCAGCTCGATCTATAAAAATGAAAGCGCATCGATTGTATACCTAGTTTGTCCGTGCGGAATTAGTTTTATTCACAGCCACAATGTTTGATTTCTCATAGATGTCACGGAAACTTGCAACACTGTCCGACTCGTAGCCACGCCGTATGGGAAATGGTGATGAACGAACTGGACAGGAGAGAGGACCCTAGCTTCGACGAATACTTGCCCGGTTGTGCCATGGTAGACTCGTGCTCCAACATCCTGTCCGGCGACCAGTTCTACAACTTTTTGAACCACAACTTCGACCGGCATTACGATCAAAATCGCGCTCCCATGGGCCTGTACTTCCACGCCGCCTGGCTGAAGAACAACCCAGAGTACTTGGACGCGTTCCTGTTCTGGATCGATGAAGTGCTGGCCAACCACAACGACGTATACTTCGTCACCATGACGCAGGTAATCCAATGGATCCAAAAACCGAGGATCATCAACGAGGTGAAGAACTTCGAACCATGGAGGGAAAAGTGTGTGGTCGAAGGACCACAGGCCTGTTTGGTACCGCACTCGTGCAAGCTGACCAGTAAAGAGGTTCCCGGGGAGACCATCAACTTGCAAACGTGCGTCAGGTGCCCCAACAACTATCCGTGGCTCAACGACCCCACCGGAGACGGTTTCTTCTAAGTCACACGCACATTGTTCCCCGATCTCACACACCCACACTCATTAATCGAATTTTTTTTACAATCCAATATATATTTTTATTTTTTTTTTGGAATTTTTATTATTGCTTTTATTTTTGTTTTACTTATTATTCTTTTTTGTTTTTTTTTTTTTTATCTGGCTGTCGAGACAAAGCATCTCTGTCGTTCTTATCCCAAACAAAATTATTTAATCAACAAAATTCTATAGGTTCATTATGTGTATCGGGTTTCTCAATTAACTGTGATTGTTGTTGTTTACGACGTCGTCGTCGTCGTTCATGACCACACTACATCGTCAGCATTATGCGGCGGCATAACGCGTGTTACTTATTTTATATTGTAATAATCGTCAAACATCGATATTAATTAATTTTTTTTTACTTTGATTGTAAGAACTTTTTTCAAGAAAAAAAAACAGTTAGGTACTTTTGTAAAAATTAATGAAACGTTGTATCTATAGATAGTAAATAAATTATATTAATATTTAATTATTGTTTCGTGATTTTCTATGCAAAGCTATAATTATTTTGTTTTCATTCTATAGGCGTCCTATCTACAAAATACATGAAATAATGCAAATAAGTCTGAGTGTCCTATGACTTAACGTCTTTACAGGCACATATTTTATATTACATGACGTGAAAGACGTATAGGTACGCAAGTTGCAAAAGATCAAACAAATAACTCTGCATGCAGCCATGCAGGTAAGTAACATGATACGAATAATACGTACGAATTAAAACAATCAAATCTCAAAAACATTTAAACATTTTAAGTATTATATTGTAGGTAGATGAAGTAAAAACTATGTTTAATATGTAATTTTGAATTTTAACGTTTTACGACCGTCTTCAAATTACTTCTATACCTAAATGTTTTTTTTTCTCATATTAAAATTATACGTGTATCAATGATATTGGTTCACGAACATGAGTCATCGTTTCGAAAAATATAATATGAGATTTTTTTTTCTCGAAAAGAACATACCTATTACACATTCTCTTTTACGAAATCGATTTCGTGTTTAGCGAGCGTGTTTAGTTTTTCTAGTTATTATAATATTCATCAGGATTCACGGCGAAATGTTACGAACAATTGACAATAAAAGTGTTTTTGAATCAATTGTCTTTGGAGTATATTATATTTTTAAATATTCGTATATCCTGTGTATGATTTAAAACAATGCATCATAAGTATGCACATGCATCGTCCCTACTCATTTCAAAGGGTGATTATTATTAATTATCTTTCTCGAGAATAACACGAGTGACACATACTCGGACACACGTAGACGTCATGCACAGTATTTAGCTTAACTTTTAATCGATCGAAAAATGACAAAAGCAATTGCGGTTTATTGCTCTATACACGAGTATTGTGAGTATATTATACTGAGTATTCTCTGCCAACGCGGACGAGGAAGCGTAGCATAATAATTACCTATATTAATAATGTAGGTAAGTATTTGTTGTGACTCGTGAGGTATATACTCGTCTAGATAATGTATTATATTATATATATATATATATTATTACGTGGCATGTACCTATTGTTTTATTACTCATAAGTCATAACCTTGACGTGCGAGGACTTTTTCTCGACGGGGCGCGTATACGACATTTCCAAAGTGAAAACAAAAACATTAATCTCGATTATGAAAAAGTTGTTCGACAAACAATATTTTAAACATCATGCTATTCAGCTCGTTGGTATAATTATAATCAATAAATGGGTCGAGTGGCGGCGGAGTTGTGACTTCTGAAAAATAATGAATATTATTATTATTTCGAATACTTTCTTCTTTTTACTCACAATATGTCTGATTGGATTTAAAAAGACACGTCGTCGGACTGTTCCTAAGTATAAAGTTATCATACGATAAATAATAATTTTTTTTGTATAGATAGGTAAATCAATATTATATGAGTGCAATAATATTAATAAATTGTTATAATACGGCGGCGAAGACTGTGCCGCTGTATACGTACCTATATATAACGAACCTCTAAAACAAAACGGCCACTATACTCAAAATCCATACATTTTGAGTTACGTCTACTTTAGAATAGTAAAAATGTTGCTCGATAGAATTCAAAAATAAGTAATAACACATTCAATAATATAATTTTTCATTTTGCCATTTTGCATCAAAAAGATGTGTCAGTGTTGAATCATTCAATTTTTAGATCAATTTTAAAGTTACAGAGTTACATTTACTTTATATTATAATAGTACATGTTATTTGACTTATCCAATTAATCACCAAAATCAAAATTCAAGACTACCTTAATTCAATTTATGGCGTTTTTGTGCTGAATAAAAACTCATTTTCGTGGATATGTTGAGTGCAAACAGCAATATTTAGTATTGTGGTGGTATAGCATTTCATAATAATTAGTGATAACGCAATCGTATTATGAGCAAAGTCGCAGTCTTGTATATTAAAATGGAATTTTTTTTTCTGCCACGTTTCAAAATATGGTAGTCTTGGATTCACATAAATCATTGTAAAATGCCATAAGTCTAACTTTTTGTGTTTAAGAGAGTATTTCATAATATTTATTGACCTCATAATGTAAAGTATGTTTATGAATATTTAAATTTTTAATTTCAAATACTTCGGTAAAGAACTCTTTAAAATATCTTAGTTTAAAATTTAAAATCGCTTTTTCTCAAAACTATAAATTTTGAGTTCTAACAGTCTTGTTTTAGAGCCTATAGAGGAGCGATGTATGAAAGGCTAAATACAAAGATTAATAGGCAAAAGTCAAAACATTCAACGATTATATGATGATGATATTATTATAAAATATATTGCAGGATAGTAATCTGACATCGAATAATGCATTGCATGTATTCGTGCGATACTGGAGTTACTGCACTTCTGGTCTTAGATTCTATACCAAGATAACTTTAAATTGTTTTACATTAACCCAAAACAACTTGATGTTTTCTTCTGAGTTCCTACACTTAATGGGAACGTTTTGAATATGTCCTAACAATTACATGTCTTTAGCTAATTTGTTGGGGAATTTCCAGTGCTTTGTCACGGGTATTTCAAAATTCAAAATTAATCGACTTTCTTTTGTATAGTGTGCGTCCCTTTATATAGGAGAAAAATGCCTCTATCTTCAACTTTGAGGGAGGTATGTCTGTTTCTGGTAGTATACTTTTTATGATAAACTGGAATAAAGTAAAAAAAAATATGGAAAACAGGAATATTTTTGTTGAATAGGTAGGTACCATTTTTCGACAAAATCGATAGGTATTTTTATTTTGTTCAGCTCTCTTTTTAACTATATTTAAAAGCAAATGGAATTTTCAACTTTTGTGGTTTTTCTATTTTTTGAAAAAAATGTTTGTGCTTTGTCAATAAGGTTGAAAATTTAATACGTTTCATATATAAGTATGACAAAAGTCATTAAATTGTTAAAATCGATAAAATCTCGAAAATGTATTATTTACTGTGTAAATAAAAATGCAAACAATTTTTTTGATTTTAATATAGTTACCAGCTAGGACTTAAACATTGCACTTTTAAGACAAGACGCAAGTGGCTCAGGGGATAAATGAAATTCAGATAAAGTCAATCCATCTGGTGAATAGTAAAAAGTAACTTTTTTTCTTATGTGTATTACTGATTGAAAGAATAAATACACGAATACGGTATATGCAGTTATGATTTTAATATTATTAATAGTGGATAAGCCAGTAAGCCACTCTTAAGTCTTAAGTAACACTGGCGTTAAATTTAACATCTATAAACTGTCTGGATTCTATTTTAATACTATTACCCATCGGGGGTTACAAATAAAACGTGTGAATTCCCAATGCCCAATGTGCATATTCGTTGTTTAGATATAACCCGACAACTATATATCTTTATATTAGCCAAGAGCCAACTGTCTATAATATTATCTATCTATGAATCATTTCTGTTTTGATTCAGTTGAAATATTTTCGTATACCTACAGATTTTTAGTACTTATATAAACCTCTTATATAATTAACCATATATGAATATTGAATGTACAATATACTAATATCCATTAATATAGTACAATTTGTATGTATAATAGCCAATAAGTGATACTCAATTTTACATTCATATACATAGAATAATAGTACAAACAAAATAATATAAGATAATACAGAAAATTACATCCACACATAATAATTACTATTTTATTATTCGTATAACCAATTGCCCATTGGCCTATATAACCTAAAGAATTTTCGATTTTCGTGATTCAAAAAAAAATTCATGCTTTTATTATATGAACCTATATGGGACGAAATAATAAGCTATAATAATATCCTCATTCCTCAACCAGTCTCAAGGAATCTTTTGATATAACATTTGTCATTTATTGAAAACGGTTCTGTAGTTTTTGCGTCTATATCGGATGAAGAAAGAAAGAAACATTAGTTTTTATAATATAAATGGATAAGTTGATAACAACCGTATAAATATTCTATATTATATAAAATATAGTTCAACTTATAGTATATTACTGTAACTATCACTAATAGGAAAACAAATTATTGATAACAATTTATTGTTGTATTAAGCGATACAGGTACGAGTTAATATAGGATGTAGGTAGTGATAAGAAGTGGTAGTACATAAAAACTAGGTTAAGAAATCAATTATAATTTATAGGTACCTAACAAGTAGAATACCAAAACACTTCAAATTCTATAAAGTACATTAAACATGTTACATGTAACTAGGTTAAGACAGCAATTATGTAATATAATAACAATTAATCATAGGACAATCGATATTATTCGATAGTTATACGATTTTAAGTTTAAGATATAATAAGGAACATGCGTTAGAACAGAAAGGGGTCAGAGTGTAGTTATCGTGTGACGCGATTACCCCTGGATATCCGAGTATAGTAAAGTGCTTATAATATTATTAGTTTGTTTAACTGTGTACTTCAGTGATGTATACGACACAATATAAATATAAAA